CAACCCTGTTCAATAAAGGGATCAACCCTGTTCAATAAAGGGATCAATAAAGTTCATTCTCATGTTATATCCAAGTCTTGCCATCCACATGGCAACATTACTGTTGAAGGCAGCAGATAAGGCGCTAGCTGCGCACAATACAGAAGCACTAGCTAAAAAGCTATGCCCATGGAGGTAGTGCTCAGTTTCCCTCATGCTGAGCCATCTCCACCTGGTCTCCACCATCATCCCCCATCTGAAACTGTCGGTACAAACAGAGCACAACACAGATGTGTCTCCGTCTCCTCACCCCCCCACCAAAAACCATGGAACATATGAGCGCTCCGCCATGACAACTAGGGGAAACTGCATCTTGTCTGGAGGTATTTTGTGTATGAAGCAGGCGGCTAGGGAAGCGTGCACGGTGGCTGAGCAACAAAGAGCCCTTGAGCACCACATGACACCTGTTGACAAACAAATACAGCGATCTATAGCAGTGGCCCGGACAAGCAAAGATCTTGTCTAACATTTGACCTTGATTTGTGACCTTGAAGCTGGGGAGATGAAAAGTGCCCGACTGTTGGCCTAGTGATGATGCATGAAGCTTTGTTGACCATCTCGAGCTGATCAGAAGTTATGGGCCAGACAAGACGCGTCCTGCAGTAACAGGAGGCGTCTACAGATACAACCACACAGCTACAGGAAGTGCTCTGGTCATTTAAACTTCTCTGCACATGGCTAAATTAAAATCACAGCAGAGTTTTCAAACAACAGGAAGTTTGAACATTCATAAACCTTCATCTAAGCATTGTGTAAGGTGCATCAAGAGGCAGCAAATAATTCTGAAAATATATCCGACATACTCATGTGCTGCTCGATGAAGCTGTTGTCTGTGAGGGGAACTCTCCTCCGTTTGACTCTGGTCTGACCTCTCTTCAGAATGAGCTCACGAACAGACTTCAGGTTGGGAAACCTGTTGGGAGACAATCCTCCAGTAGTTGACATCGTCACCGACACAAATGTAAACCAGTACAGCACAAGTCAGGACGCCTCACCCCCACGCCACATACGGCTCCACCGTCCTCATCATGGCGATAGAGGTCTTGTTAATTTTAACAAAGTTGCCACTAAAAATCTTCCTGAGCCTCATCATCTGGATCACCTTCATCACTTTGGGGCTGACGCCTTTAATCCTGACAAGAAGCAGAAGACGACTTGGTTAAAACAGCACAAGACATTTTGGTGTGTGAAAATAAAAGGTTCAAAGCCTCAGCATTCATCTTCTGATCTCATATTTTAACAGCACCATCAATTAATCCCACACATGAAATTAAAGCAAACAGATTATGTACTGCTTTTAGGGTTCGAAAATAAAAGGTGGATTTAAATTAAGTTCACTTCAAATCTTAAAACAGCATCCCCAGGACGACTGAACGAAAACAACAATGCTGACTGAACACGAAAAAATACTATTAAAATGAAAAATGTGACGAAAATGATATCTAGTCATTTTTTCCAGCGGTTCCTTTTTACTGGATCGCCACAGCGAGTCCTCCTCCATCTCACTGGTTTTGTAGATCCTACATCACGAATCAACATGGTCTGTGTTCAGAGAACCAAAACAAGTCCAGACCACCTTCCCAGTGGTCTGAGAAAAAAATCATTGTTTTTTATATTAATCTTCACTGAAATCAAATAACTAAAACCATTTAAACCAGCAGGTCTGAAACACCTCAGAGACTGCAAGGTAACATTTAAAATTCACAAGTATTTCTTGGTTTTACTTGCAAAATATAGGTCCTAATAAAAAGTAAACAGCTTCATAGCTTGACAGGCAGCAGGGGACACTATAGAAACTTATGTTAACTGCATGTTACTGAACAAAACAAAACATATGTTCTTCAGAGGATTTTCACCTTGTGTCCTCATTTTGACCCACATGTTACCAACAGCTTTGAACCTTTGGCCCAAGTCACTGTGTAAACCTCCCAACCAACAGCAGTATGTAGACATCTTGGACAAAGCACCCACTCTCTGATGCGAAAGGCGAACGCCAGCTTGTTTCTTGCAGGAGGCAGAGGACGCGGCGGCCTGCACTCGGCCCTGCGCAGGCGGGTCTCATCGCGGTGCTTCTTGTGGCTATCAACCAAGAAATCCTCCAATCGCTTGAACTTTATAGGTTTACCTTTTGATACCTGTAGGAATTTAAAGGAAGTGCTTTAGAAACACAGCAGCAACAGTCGGTTCAGTCACAATCAGAGCAGACAGACGTAAACTGCAGGTCGAGCTTCGTCACGGCTGCTGCAGGAACCTTTCATCTCTTACCTTTCTTTTCTCAAGCAGAGCAAGCTTGGCCTGTGTAGCTTTGATGGCCTGATAGGTTTTCCTCTTTTTCAGGAGATACTCTGGAACTAACTTGATGACCTTTTGAGACCTATCATGATCAACACAAGCCTCAAATTAAACAAGCTCACAACATTTTCATCTACAGCGTCAAACCACACAGGTCAGCTCCCAAACTAACAAACATCACGTCACTACACTCAACTCAGGAAATACACGGGCTGGCAGCACAAAACGGAAGTGAAACACTGCCACATATTTACTACACATCTTTTTATTATTTTATTTACTACACATCTTTTT